AATGTTCACATGGGAAGGGGAACTAGAGAAGGGTAAGGGGGAAAGGAAGGGAAAAGAAAAACTGATGATAAAAGAAGGAAAAAGTAGAAACAGCTTTTGTAAATAAGGAGGGGAAGAGCTGAAGAGAGGGTTGGAGAACGGAAAATAGAAGAATCTAGTTATATCAGGTGCAGTTACAAATTTCTTATGATGAGTGTGCTCACTATGTATACAAAAGCTAATTAATAAAAATAAAATGCTGAGATACCATTTTTAAAAAGAGGGGGGAATTTTTTGCTTGGGTAAGTGTGAAATCCCCACAGAACGGCAGCTCCCCACAAGCTGATCGTGGTTCAGGCTCCCAAGTCTTAGCGCTGTTTCTGATTCTCTCAGTTCCCCTCCATGAGTTTCACCTCAAATTGACTTCCTGCGCTGGCATTATGCTTACAAACCACGTTAGTTAGAAGACAGTATCTTTCTAAAAGTTCCAATCAAAAGTCCTGAGCTTCACACTAACTGAAGCAGCGTGGATAAGACTCAGGATTTCAGCATCAGTCAATGGGCCAGACAGGGCCGGAGGCTGACAGTGGAGGTCCTGAACCAAACACAATAATACACAGTTCAAGGAGAAGTTTATACATATGGGTTTAGGAAGTAGAAAACCTGATTGCTCACAAATGTCATCTATATATCTCATGGGAATTTGTTATAAATTTAAATTTGGGGGCCTTATCCCTACCCTACTCAATCAGAAACATTGGGTGTGGGTTCGTCCAATCTATATTTAAGCAAGTCTTTCAAGTGGTTCTGATACAAGCTGAAATTTGTGAGCCATTGCTAATCATCAGGCTCTCCTCATGAGAGAGAAAGGTAAATCGTATGTGTGTCACTGGGCTGTTGTGTATTGTCATACACAGTTACAAAATGCTAGAATGAAAACCTGAGAAGTTAGCATAACAATATTTCAGAAGGAAATAGTTCTTTTCAATTCTTCCTTCCCGTACTGAGATGGTACAGATCAGTGTTACAAGATTAGCACACTGACCCATATTTATTAACATAATGGCCTTAAAGAAAAGGAAACAACAACTATTAACCTTAGCATTTTTCTTTGGGCCCTAACTGACTTTCTTCAGAGCAAGTAGGCAGATTTAGACACATTTGACAGAAGGAAAGCTGCTTTGCAATTAAAACGGCATTGAAGAAGTCATTCTTTTAAAAGTTTCTTAATCAGGACTAATGCTAGGAGTCAACTAGAATAAGGTTCCATGTACAGGTTTCCAGGCTGTACCCTAGAACCACCGAATCATTATCTCCAAGGAAGGGGGCTTAGCGTCTGTCCCAAAGACACCATTTCTTCCTCTCTTTCCTCCCCCACTACCAGGGCGTTTAATTTTTCTTCACCTAATCTTATTCTATGCTTCCCACTTTCTAAAAGCTGTTGGATCTCTGAACAAAATTTATCGTAAGACCTCGCCATGCTTCATAAATAAAATTGAAAGCCTTAGTGCATCTTACTACGTTCTATCCCATCCTGTCCTTGCCTTTTGCCTTTCTTCTCTTGAATTGAATTCTGTGCTTTTTATCATTAGTCCACCTGAGCCTCTGAGCCTTCTTGAATCCTTGCACAGCATTGAATATAAAGGCTTCCTTCTCCCTCCCAGTATAACAGTTGCATTAATGCTTGGTTATGGCACAGCAATAAAACTCAGTAGATAAAGACAAAAAGTTTATCTTTTACTTGTTCTATGTGAAAAGTCATGAAGATTTTTTTCTCTAAAGGGCTAGATTTCATTTTTTACCTTATAAGCAATGTACTCTCTACCATTTCTTTCTCCTCCTCCCTTCCTTCTCCTCTTCCTCCTTTTGTAGAATAATATATTAGTGTAAAATGTCGTTCTTATTCATAGATCATACAGAAACAGGCTCCTGGCTAGACTTGGCCTATAGACCCTAAATTTGCTGACCTCTGCTGTATGTGACTACTGCCAGAGACATAGCAATATATACTGAAATGAATACTTCTGAATAGTACTAACATTCAAAAACCTGGATTAATGGAGCAGCCACTTCTTGAATGTTGCTTGTTATGATATAGACAAAAAGATGACTCAGACAAAAGACAATGCACAGGAGCAATTAAATGCACCAGTGTAGAATCACCCCAGTGTAGAAGTGGCACCCAAAACTTCTGTTCACAAGTTGGCCAGTTAGTCTCTCACACTACCAATGAGAGGGACAGGTAGTGCAAACCTACTATGTGTCAAGAAGTAGGAGGAATTTGAATTAGTTGGTAAAAATGATCAGTACACTCAGTTCAGAGACAAACATTTTAGAAGGCTTTTTCTGATACCCTCATTCTTCAGTGAGATTAGCTGATCTTCTCTTGTAATATTTTGGGTGGTGTTGAAGCTTAAATGCAACACCTTATGCATGCTAAACAAGTGCTCTTCCAGCAAGCTATACCTCCAGCTCTGTCCCTGTACAACTACAGCCATAGCATCTTGAGCACTTCTGGATTATAGTGTCATACACAGAGTACTACAATTGCCTACTTGTCTGCCTCTCTAAGTGTCTATATGCTCACTAACTGCTTCAGATAATGTCTATATGCTAACTTGCATGGCATTTGCCTCCAGAGTTGTTCAATACAATTTGCTTCAACAAAGAAACAAATACGATGGGTTGTGGGAGAAAGGAAGGTTGCTATACATTAACAGTTTCTAGAAGCTAGCAGTGACAGCCTTTCCAAGCCCAGTTAGATCAAGCACATTAATCTCTATTCAGGATTGACTTATTCTTTTAGTTATTAGTTATTTTTTGTATCAATCTTTTTTTTCTACCTCTAATTCCCCCTTATGACCTTTTTCTTCTAATAATCAACTCTTTGCTTCAAAACTGGTTCTTGAAGCCATAGAGTACTGTGATATTATGTGGATTGCTTTTGGTTTCAGTTTACAGATCAGAAGGTAAGCACAGAGAAGCCCAGTGACTTTTTCTAAGTTATACAGCCAATCAGATGTTGATTTAAAGGTTGTGCTTTTTTTTTTTTTTGATTGAACAAAATGTTACAGGATAGAACACAGGGCTGCAGCTTACTTTGCCAACAGTTTATTTACGCTAGAAAGTATAATACACATTTGTCAAAAGTAAGTCTTATAGTGTCATATCAGTATTTAGCTTATAATGTACATTTCTCTCTGAGTAAAATGTTTAAAAAAGTCACACGACCACCTATTAATGCTGTGGCTTTTCATGTTGATTCCACTCTCAAACCTCTTCTAGTTTCTGTAAAGTGATAATAGCTTTCCAGAACCCAAGAACACCTGTAGCTAAGGTTTGACCATCCCATCTCAGTACCTGGAGAGTGAAACACATCTATCTGCATTTGCACTACTACACAGCACAAATTTCACTTGCTTCACATGCAACACGTGTGTGGCTGCAGCAGTTTGTGTAAACTGTATAACCACAGGGTGCATCTCTCAGGGAAAGTCAATTCTGAAATCAATATCCTCTCTGACAAATGCCCAGGAGAACCAGGGGAAGAACAGAGCTAGATTTTTAGATGCTTCCCAGATCATTGATAGGTTGTAGCCAGGACACAGTATTATTGAAACTTCTAAGACTGAGCCAATCCAAATGAAACAACTTTATATATATGTTTATATTTTATAAACCTTTATACCTTTATATACCTTTATAAGGTATATTATATATATATATATACCTTTTATATATATATATGTATATATATATATATATTAAAGGTGAAATAACTGAATGTACCCTGCCACTCTTGTCAGCTGTTTAACAGATCACAGCTGACAATTCATTTCAGCAGAGGAAAGTGCACAAGAAAACTAAAGTAAACAAAAACCGAATTATATGCTCAGGTACTGTCAGGCACAAAACAAAAACCACTCATTTCTGGGAGTGTTGCCTTTGCTTCCTTTTTTCTTTCTCTAAGCCTTGCAATTGAATGTACAAAGTATATCAAGAAGAATAAATCCAAGGGCCCCCTCCTCCAAACCAGAAAAGGTTAAGCTTTTAATTACAGGCCCTCAAACTATCATTTTGTGCAATTAGCAATTAACTATAATCGGTGATGAGAAAATGCAGCACTGTGCTAGCAATTTGCCTCCTCCTCATCCCAGACTGGGTTATTTTAGTCTTGCTCTATTACAGAGGAGAAGAAGCCACAACCGCGCGCTAGCTCATGCACTCTCACGCACACACTCTCCCTTGCTCAGACACATTTAAATTTTAGCAAAATGGCATCTCAGCGTGTGACGGAGATAGGGATCCCGAACCCAACACCAAAAGGTTGGACCCCCTGCCCTTCACTTTCTGGTTGGAGAGAGGCCCCAGGAAGATGCTACCTACCGGCCTCTCAGTACCAGCCTCTTTGAGGGGCGCAGGACAGGGTGACACAAAGATGTTTGCTGTCCCTGGAAGCTGCACCCCACCCTCGCGAGCGGCAAGTCCCGTTAGTGGGGAGGCCAGAGCAACTGCAGCAATAGTTGCATCAGCGCTAACTGCTCCTGCTGCATTTACTGTCGGCGGCAGCCGGGAGGGTACAGTAATGACTGTAGGGAGCGCACAGCTGCTGCGGCGGCAGGTTCCCAGGATCAGGAAATTAGGACAGGCACTGGGGATTGGAGGCGAGGGCGGTGCGCGAGCCAACCAGCGGCCGCCCCGGGCCCCGTGAGCCCCGGGCAGACGCGCGGAGCAGCCGCCCCGGAGCAGTCCGGATGGCGGCGGCAGCAGCCACGGCCACTGCCACTCACACTCACGCACGCAAGCTCACACTTGCACACACACTGGCACACCCCCGGCGCAGGCACCCGGTTGCCTGGCGCGTGTGAGAAGAGCGCGTCCCGGAGAAGGACGGCCGAGGCCGCCGCGCCCCCCGCCCCCCGCTGACCACTCCCCCTCCTGCCCCCTCCCGGCAGCTCACCCGGCGCTCCGGCCGCCGCCAGTGTGGGTGCTCCGCGGCCAGCTCTGCTCTTCTGCCTTCTCTTCGGCTCTCCGCTCCCCACCCCCTCTCCTCCCCCCTTCTCCTGTACCCTCCCTCCCCTCCTCTCCCCTCCTCTGCAGCGCCTGCATTATTTTCTGCCCGCAGGCTCGGCTTGCACCACCGCTGCAGACCAGGGAGGTGGGTGGGTGGGTGGGTGGGCTGCTTAGTGGGGAGGTGATTGTACAAGTTGCAGGGGAGGAGGTGCTTCTTCTTCCCTGCTCCCTTTTCCCCCTTCTAACTCCTTCCCTTCCCCCTCCCCTCCCCCTCCCTGCCCCCACCTCCTTCCTCTTTTTCCAAGGGCTGGTAACTTGTTGTGCGGAGCGAGCGGCGGCACCATCCAGGCGGGCACCATGGGCACGTCCGCGCGCTGGGCGCTCTGGCTGCTGCTCGCGCTGAGCTGGGCGCCCCGGGAGAGCGGCGCCTCCGGGACGGGTGAGTGGGGACGCGCCCCTCGTAGACGGCCTGCGGCGAGCCGGGGCGCGGGGTGCGTGTGCCTGTATGTGTGTAGGGGCCGAGGCGCGGGTCTCCACTCGCCCACCCCCTCCGAGGAGGCGCCTCTCCGCGCTCCTCGCTTTCTCTCCCTCCCCACCCTGGCGGCGCCTCTGAGCTGTCAGCGCCAAGGCTACGGGAGCCGGGCCTTGGGGGCCGTGGGGTTTGGGGTGTTCCAAAGGCTCCGCCTGAACTCGTCTTCAGGCCCTCGGGCCCCCTCCCCCGGAGTCCCTATTTTGCCGCGTTTCTCCGCACCTTGACAGGACGCGGGCAATGTGGGCTGCCGAGGCCCTGAACAATGGTTCTGGCTGCTCTGCCAGGCGGAGGGCACGCTGGGAGGCTGGGAGCCGGCCCTGGCCGGGAGGCGCGCGGCGGTCCCGGCGCGCACCTCGGACCTCGGCGGGCGAAGGTGGGCGTCTCCGAGGCCGCGGGCGCCGGTCCTGGCGCGGCGTGAGCCGGCTCACGTTCGGAGGCGGCAGCTGGGCGGCTCCGCGGAGCCACGCGAAGTGCGCAGCCTGCGCACCCGGACTGCGACTCCCCGGGCGCCGGGTCGTTTCTTGGCGTGCGTGTTGGAGGAGTGTGGCTTTCAACGGGACCCTCCCCAGGTGTTTTGTCTGTCCCCTGTTCGCGCCCTCGGCGAAGCTTGAAACCCCTCGGGTCTGCCGGGTCGCCGAGCGGGGGAGGGGAGCGGGACACTGACGCGGTCCGGTTAGTTTTCGATCCTCGTCCCCAGGGAGGGACGCGTCCTCCTAGTCTATGACTGTAATTGGCCCTCATTCTAAACAATAGATCAAAGAGCAGAGCAGCACTAAGCTGATGTGTGGCTGTGGCTTGCCGGCCAGGTTGGGGTGACAACCTTCGAGGCCCCGAGTGTCCCTCGGGGTCCGGGAGCCCGGCGCGTCTGCAGCCGCTGTCCTGCTCAGGCCCAGTAACTTTTCTGGGCAGGCGACGAAGCCCTGCTAAGCCAGGCAGCCAGTGCCTTGGCAGACCCGCAGGAGCGGTCTGCAGAGGCGACCCCCGGCTCGCTCCCCGGCCAGCCGGCGCTGGGGACCTGGGGAGCTGGGCCGAGTGCTGCCCAGCCCTGCCCGCCCTCCGGAGCCCTTGCTTCCCGGCGCCCGGTGGCAGCGAGGGCTGGGTGCTTCAGTCACGTGTCGCCTGAAGTGAGCATGAACTTTCAAGTGTGTGGTCTGCAGAACTTGGGGTTTTAAGTCTGCAAGGCCCCCTGCCCTTTGGTTCTCAGTGCCACCATCCGGAGCGTGCGAAGCCGCCTGCTGAGCCCTCTGCAATTGGTCGCCTGCCCGGTCCCACTTAGCACGGTCACGTGGCCACGGACGCCTGCGAACTCCTGTGGCTGCAGGAGGAGGGTTATCTCCAAGGGAAAGTCACAGCCCGCGCGGTTCTTCTCTCTGATACTTTCTCCTACCTGGACGCTTTGAAAAAGAAACCTGTGTGGAGAAGATGGAATGTGCCCGTAAAGCCTAAGAGCCTAGAACAGCCCTGCTTGCAAGAGTTTTTAGGAGTTGATATTAATCATTAATGGAGCTAAGTGACACTTTACTTACTAAACAGTCTCTCAGAATAGTGCCACGACTTGCGTTAACATTTTTTTTTTGCAACATTTCTAAACACTAAGATGTAACAAAAACTGTTGTCAACTTTCAGGAGAGATGACCCCCTTGAAAAAAAATCAACCATCAAATCAATTTTTTGCTGCATAGTCCTTCATATTTTTGGCATTTAAAAAGTAGGAACTTTGCATTAGAGGCTAACATTTCCCTATAGAGTGAGAGAAATGGACCTAAACTGTTGAAATGAATTAGTCAAAGCCTTAAATTCCCCTAGTAATTGTTAAGGATTCTCTCTCTCTCTCTCTCTCTCTCTCTCTCTCTCTCTCTCTCTCTCCCCCCCTCCCTCCCTCCCTCCCCCCACCCCCCTCCCCTCCCTTACCTTCCCTCCCTCCCTCCCCCCTATAAAAGACATGACCAGCCATGAACAGTGGAATAGAGAATCCCAGGCAACCTGAATTTGGCAAAGGAAAGGACATTGTTCCTTTCTGAACTAGAGCACTTTTGGAGTTGGCTGAAGCAGGAACTGACCCTAAGCCAACTCAGACTGGCTCCTGTCTTAGGTTCAAAGTCCCAGGACATGTGGGCTGAATTTCTGACTTTGGTCTTCTATGCCTGTCCTTGCTCTCCAGCCCTCCTCTCCCCAGCCAACACTCCGGTCCAAAATACTGTAGGACAGAGCAGGTATGCACTAAGACTGTGTTGAGAAACTTAGCAAGGCTAACAAAGGAAGTTATGGTACCTGACCGCAAACTCCCTAGGGGCTCTAGGACGTTTTCCTCCAGCCTCCCTGCAGATTAAGATCTGGAGTACTACACTGTTTAAGCTCAAAATGTAGAAGAACCACGGTTTTGTGAGTGCTGTTCACATATAGCTAGCAACCAAGAAAAGAATACAAAGAAATTTATCGTTTTGAGGAGAGTGGGTAGATGTAGCAAGAAATACTAATAGATCCAAAAGTAGAAAACTGGAAGGCTAAAAGAAAAGGCATCTGGTTTATCCAGGTAAAGCCAAGAGAAGATACAGTGATAGTAGTTTATCTTTGTAAATCCAGAAATGAACATGTCACTGAAGGCAGATGAACTTCTAAGCCCCTTAAGAAAGGGTCACCAACCGAATCTCAATGGTGTTGACAGTTTCTCAAAGTGTGAAACAGCCTTGTTACTGGAATCTCCCTCGCCCACTTCATAGAGCACTTGCCCCTAGTGCTTGTCCTGTGTCATTTAATTCTCTGCCTTTACTCCTTAAGTCTACCTAAAGTAGGTATAAAAGCCAAGTTTAGTAGCTAGAACTCAGCATAGCAAACTGCATATTTAAGCATTAAGCATCCTACCAAAGGTGGCAGCCTCCATCCTTAAAACAAATGCAGGACTGAGCAAGGTGTTTCTGGTTCTTATAAAATTGAATAACAGTGTACTTGAACTCACATAAGTAGTTTTCTACTAGTTTTGGAAGAAGTGAGATGTTACAAGCACCTGTTGTTCCAAGAGGGGTAACAAACTTAAGACAAAACTGAGGCCATATTATATATGCTATTCTCACAGCACCTGGCAGGTATGCTCTCCCTTAATTGTTAATTGGAAGCTTCAATGTAACTGGCAGGCCCAAGTACAGCCTGCAGTATAGCATGACCATAAGAGCAAGGGAACAGACAGTTTGTAGTCATATGGCTTCAGGTTTTGATACAAAAACAGTAAGGCCTGACACATAGCACAGAAATGTCAATAACTGATAGTAAATATCTGGATCATTCTGTTTCTCGCAGATTGTAAATAAAATTGTTCCTGATATGGGGAATAGTGATCAAGATAAGGCTGTTTACCTACTTCTCATGACTGGCTTCACTTTGTATACACACCTTCCATTGGAAAGCCACTTCCCCCTGCTAGCCCATGAGAAATTACGTGCATTCCAGGACTTTGATAAGGTCTGTAATGATGCTTATCAAATATATACCTACCCCATGAGAGCATCTCATGGTGGGGTAAGGCAGCTGGTTAGTTCATAAATTCAATATTGCTTAGTTTCCTCCCTTTTTGCCCGAATTAATCTCGAAAGTGCTTAGGTACAGAGTGTCAGACTATTTTCAAGGCAAAAACCCCAAATATCCTCCTTTTGACATTATGGGTGAGATGTACTTACTGACTAGAAAAATAAGTGGGCTGGGGATATTATTTCCTCTGACTATAGTGTGGAAAATCTGAAAAATGGTAGCTTTTCTGAGGACTTAGAGGAAGAGTAGTTCTAGGAGAATCTGATTTTTATAGTTGAAAATTTATTTCAATTGTAGTCTCCTCATTTATCAATGTGTATCATTGTCACTTTTTAAAACTCTGTTATTTGCTTATAATAAAAATTCTAGCCAGTAATATTGGCACACTCCTGTAATCCTGGTTACTTAGAAGGTGAGCAGGAAGATCCCAAGTTCAAGGCCAGTCTGGACAACTTAGTGAGTCCTTATCTTAAAAAGGGTTAGGAATATAGCTCAGTGGTAGAGCACTTGCCTACCATTTGTGAAGCCATGGGTTCAATCCCCAATACTACAACAAACAAAACACAAAGCTTTAAACATTGTTCATACAAATGAGTTAGACACATTTAACTGGTCTCCAGGAGCCAAATACAATGACGGCAAATGATACCTTAAACTTACCCTGAAATCTCCTACGAGAACTTGGAGCCTGTTAGTTATTCTGAGACCTTCAGCTAGCAGTTCACCATGAGAGTAGCTGCTGGGTGCTGTCAGAATAGACATAGAAATCTGCTAGAAATGTCTTCGGTCCTTTGCCTGCTTTGGGTCTTGGAAATGGTATATGGGCAGGGGAGTGAGTATGACTGGCCCTGTTCTTCAGAGATAACTTTAGGGGAAGATGCTTTATGAAATTGGCCAGACTGGCTGATCTTGTCACCAGCGTGGAGCATCTTGGTGGGCCCTGGTGGCCAGTAGTCTTTATGTGTATAGACAGTGTTAGCAGTGGGGCTGGGGGATGGGGGTGCAATTTGCCAAGTGAGATGATAAAGACTGCTGATGAACAACATTTGCAAATTACTTAGAACTTAACATTTCTTCCAAATATTATGAGTACATATGGTCCCTGTTTCATAGACTGCCTGTACTCTTTTGTTTTCTTAAAAAGCCTTCTTAAGGCCCAAGTTATTAATTGGTCTGTAGGTTTACTAAATTAGTTATGAGTTGAACCTAGTTTCTTTTGTACATCTGCCTGAAATGAGCTGAGATCCATCTGCTGATCACCTATCACATGCCATATGGCTCTAGGCAGAAGCAACAGTGACCACATAGTTGGCCCTTTTGTGGCAGTTCTTCTAGAAAGAAGGTCAAAATAAGAAATCAGTGATCCAAAGCCAGCCAGAGATAGA